AAGAGAAAGAACAGGACAGAGAGAAAGCAAGGCACTGGGAAAGGGCGCTGCCTCAGTGTCTCGTGCTTTAGTTGTACTTCCTGGATATGCCTCATCATATTGATTTCTACTGTCGGACGTTCATGACTGTCGCATTATTAAAACAAAACTAAACCAAGAACCCTAAGCTGAGTGAACCCCCTTTCCTACAATGAACTGGCTAAAGAGTAAGTTTCCAGTAAGCCCTCATAATGTTATGCTGAGACATCTGCACGAAAGGGGCAGTGTGGCCGCGCTAAGAGTAGCAATGCAGAGTGCCTGGCCTCGATATTTGTTTCGGTCTGCTTGAAGCTTAGTGTACAGGGAAAGGCAGTAAAAACTTTTATCACTGTTTCTTTTGGGGCTGGATGGTTGTCTTCTGGTGTCAAACTTTATGTAAGTACAAATTTATCCCTGCAAACCTAATTTCAGAAAGGAAAAGTCACTGCTACTATGAACATCATATACAAATGATTATAGTAAGTGGAATAACATTGTCTGATACCTGTCAATGGTGTGATAATCAAACTACCTTTTAGATGTCATGCTGCTAGATAACTGCCATTCATTTTGCCAGTTACTGAGACCAAAGGGAGACGTGAGGTTTTCTAGGATTCTTAGTCACATGACCAATAACACTAGACACAGTACTTGGAATATGAGGTATCTTCAGAATGCATCTTTATTTAGGCCTCTCACTATTTCTATACAATGTATTCGGTGGAGAAATCTCTCTCTATTTAAGATTTAAAAGAAGAAGAGCCCATACAGTTTCAATACCCTTTTTGGCATTCGCAGGCAAGAGAAGATCTCAGACACTTTTAACTGTTATTAGTGCATCTAATATTATGTCATAATCAAAACTTAGGACTTGTTTTAATTACAGTCAAGTATAATTGTTCTCCCATCGAGAAGCCGCATGTGGCTGCAAAGCTGAGGGAGAAAAAGCCTTTTTCTCCTTGTTCCTGGCAGCTTCTGGTCCTTCCAGGTGGGAAAGAGAGAAGACAGAGATGGCGGAGGGTGGGAATGTTCTCATTTGAATGCGGGAACAGTAAGCTGTCTTGAAGCTTTTCCTGGTCTTGCTAAGTGTTTAAAGCAAACCACACTTTGCAAAGGCTATTGTGGGTTCTTGCGAGACTACAACAGTGTTAGTGGAGTCTCACCTGCTAGTCCCTTTAGGCCAACATACTTTGCAACACAGCAGTCTTTGTGGTGTAAGGGAACTCGGTGCTCCTTTTTCCTAGGGCCTGCTTATGTCTATGGTGCCTCTTCGCCCACATCTGCAGAGACCAAGAAAACTATACATACTTCCTCCCCTGGACGAACAGGAGCAATGGCAGCTGCCTTCACTGCAGTGAAGGCACTTGTTGGTCCAGGACACAGTCAGCACACTGAAATGTCACTTTCGAACGAGCCTCACACTTATAGCTCTCTCTTGATATCAGGTGGCTCCCAACCTTTCAGTTTGTTGGGAACTAAATGAGACCACATCTTTCTTTTAAAAAAAGTTTAAAATTGTCTCAGTAGCTTCTCCCAGTTGCCAAAACATTGAGGTGACTGGTATTTTTTGGAATGGTGCACCAATTCTTTCTTGGTGCCTTAGTCAGTGGCTGAGTTTCTACATCTTTTAAGTATATCGTGAAATTTTTGTTTGTTTGAAAAAAAGTGTGTGTGTCAGAACTTTACTGTTTGGATGAAGTACTATTTCATCTCTACATTTTCCAGATACCGTCACCACATGGCTACACTCGACTAAGTAGTACCCTAAAAGAACAGACATGCAAACTTTCTGACCAGCCCTGCTCCTTGGAATGGACTCTCTTCCTCTTCCCTGAGCAGACACTGGAAGACTCTTGGGACTTTCCCACTCACTCCTCCTAGAGAAAGATGGGACCCTGGATACCGAGATACATTATGACTTGTGTTTCGATGTGCCCCCAAAGGCTCGTGTGGTCATAGCTGGGGCTCTGCAGAGGTGGTTGGATCTAGAGTGTGTGATGCTGAAACTAATGGTATGTGATTACTAGATTAGTCCACTAATGGTTTTGGCATAGTTCTGGGTCTGGATAATGGGAAGGCCTACCCCGAGTGTCAGTGCTATCTGCCCTAAGGGTATAGAGCTTGGATAGAATATAAGGGACGTAAAAGGGGCTGCTGTTCCTGCTTGCTGCTTCTTCACTACTTCACTTTGTTGCTTTGTTGGCTTCTGCACCATAAACTGTTTCTCCTCTGTGATGCCCCTCTGCGATGTGACCTTGTCTTGGAGCCAGCCAACTATGAACTGAAACCTCTACAAACTGTGAGCTAAGTAAGCCTTTCCTCCTTTAATTTTGGGTGTTGGGTACTCTGTCTCAGCAACAAGAAAAAGTAACTAAGGCACACATGAATGGGGACCTTGTCCAACACATTCCCTAATACTGCAGGGTAAATGTCCTGCAGGACTATGCGAAGGGATTGCTGAGCTTAGGGGTTAAAGGATGGACAGAAGGACTGCGACATGTAGGGATGGAAAGATTATATACCTCTGAAGAATCCAGAGATGGGAAGACTGACTCTGGATGAAGGCACAGAGCAAGGGAGGCCACTGCAGCTGGGAGAAGCACATTAGCAGAAGCCTTTGGAATGTGGAATCCCGCCCATCTTGCCATAGTTGCCCATCTTCCTGCCTGCGCTATACCCTTCCACACCCTCGCAATTCTCACATTTCTCCCTCAGGGTGGAACACTCTCCTTACCTCCCAGCCCTGCCACTGCTACTGTTCAACCATTGAGTCTTAGCTTAAATCTAATTTTATGTGAAGCTTTTTTGCTACTCACCCTATCCAGATGGTACACTATTTCCCACATCTCAGCTCAAGCCCTCGCCACACTGCTGCTTCTCCTTGTTCCACAGGAGACAGTGAGCATCTCAAAGTCACGAGCTGTGCCTTATTCATTTTTGCACTCCCACCCCCTAGCATTGTGCTTCAGTGTTGTAAGGACTTGCATTAGGTTTCAGCTGCTTTGTAACTAACTACCACACATTTTTATGCCACACACTTACACTATGACTCAGAAGTCTAAATGTGATAAAAAGTATGGTGAATGTTGAAATTTTAAAAATGTATTACACTAAAAAATCATTGCCATTCATCCCCCTCAAGGTACTCTCCTCACTTCAAACACACTTATGCCATTTCTTGCAAGTTTCTGAAGCACTTCTGGAAGTCCTCTTTTGTGAATGTCTTTAGGTACACTGTTGTGCTTGCCTCTATGCCCTGAATCAATTCAAAACATTTACCTTTTATGGTCATTTTGACTTTGGAGAGAAGCCAGAAGTCTCACAGTGCCGGATCTGGTGACAAGGGGATGAAGATATGTTGTAGTGTTTTTATGAGCCTGTGTTTCCTTTGGATGGTACTGGGATGCGGCACTCACAGTATTTTGATCACACCTCATGAAGACAGTCATGAAAAAGGACCTCCAGAACTCCTTCAGAAAGTGGTAAGAACAATGGATAAGTGTGTCTGGTGTGAGGGGGATGAATGACACTGTCTTTTACTGTAATACATTTTTTAAAATTTATACACTCACTGTAAGGTGCAATCACCCTTTGTAGGCCCTGTGTGGTTGGCTTCTCTGACTAGAGCCTCACTGAATGGAAATTAAGATCCTGGCTAGGGAGGCAGTTCTGATCTGGGGCTAGGTTGCTCTTCTAAGCTAAGTGATTATCTTCATTTCTTGAAGCTGTAGGACTGAGGTCCTCATTTTCCTGCTGGCTGCTGTGCAACTCCGTGCCTACAGGCCACCCAGCTTCTTGTCAGATGGCCCCAGCAGGCAGTTCGCAACATGGCTGTTTGCTGCCAGGCTAGCTGAAGCACATCTCATTTCCTCTCTGAAGATGACTGACAGAACTCTTGCGCTTCTAAATGACTCACCCAAGTAGATCAGGCCCACCCATTATCATCTCCCTCTTGCCATATAATGTAATCTAATTACAGCAGAAATATTTCTACCCATAATGAAAGGGGAGGGAATTATACAAGTGGAGGTCACAGGGGTTATCCTGGAATTCCGCCTATTACAGGGCTCAATGAATATTTATAACATCCAGTAAGATATGTTCCAGAAATTTGTAAATGATAGACACAATTGATGTAAGATTTGTTTTTTTCTTGTCACTTTGGAGGGCTTAAGTTGTCTGCAAATGGATGTTGGATCCATAATGGTTAAGGGTGCTGTATCTATAATATAGTGAGGCCACTTCAGGGCATCCAGGGAATACTAGAAACTCAGGTCTGGGGGAATGACCTGGTCTACCAGTGGGATGGCTGGGTGACCTTTGGTTCAGTCCTTGATACTTTCAATTTTAGATGCCTTCTCATTTGTAAGATGAGGACAATGTCTAAGGATGGCTAGCTCTAATATTTTACAATTTCTAAGATGAAATCATACTGGTCAAATTAAAATCTAGTGGCTCACAGCATCCAGATTAACACAGATAGTTCATAAAAGAGTTTCATAATAGATGGAATTGCAGTGACGTGTTTTTAGAAGAAAAAGGTAGTTTTGTTTTTAAATGAATTCATTCGTATAACCAACTCAATGTAAATAGGGGCACAAAACTAAATTTTCAATACTTTACATAGAATGAATATTGCATCTTTACAAAAAGAATATTGTATCTTTAGATGACATGTCTGTTCAGTTATGATTAGAAGTGAATTTTTTCCAAGCTGCTATAACTTGATAAAACTATCTTATAAATAAGTTGAATTAACTTAATTGCTGATAGCTGGATAACTGTCAAAGGCAATACTCAATATTATAAATGAATTTGCTTATGTAAAGTGTGTTGAGATTCTTATAGACATTTTGGGGGTTTAAGTCTTTCTTCTGTCTTTCTGAAATGAAGCTTCTTTGGTTAGGATAATTATTCTCTTCAACCCAACAAAAACGAACTCTAATTTTAAACAGGTATTATTAAATCCCACTGAAACAGGATTCATGCAGATGTATTTGTTAAAACATCCCTTTATTGACTGTGCACAGTTTATTAATGATTCACATTTCACTTTAGCTACTGAGTGGAAGAGCACTTATTCTTTCATTAAAAAGCTAAGCCCTCCAGGGCAGCAGCAGGAATTCGGAGCTCCTGCTTCCTATAAACAGCACTGCCCAGCGCATGAGAAACACTTCCATATTAACACAAAAGAGAAAAACAAATACAACAAATGGGTTTTCCCCTCCCGTCATCCTCCTCCCTGCCGAGACAATCATATTTTATAGAAGGCCCATAAATAAACAATCCCACACGGTACTTCCATCAACCAGAAGAGGAATGGTGTCCCTGGGTTGAGAACCTTCTTAGGGCTCTGTGGAACTGACAAAAGGAGTATGCGGCCACAGTCACCTCCTCGAGAAGGTGCTGTATGGACAGAGGGTGGAAAATCGTGAAGGCATGAGTCAACATCTAGCACCTTGCTGCTCAAGTTTCAGGAGCTGTTTTTCAAGTTTTGAGATGTTTACTCGATGCTTCATGAGAAACTGGCCATTCAAATGGAAGACAGGAATGTCAAACTGATACCTCTTGTACCACGCAGAGTTTTCAGGAAGGGTGATGTCCACCTCCTGTAACACAAACTGAGACACAGACAGGCTACAGCTCTGTTCCTTAGAGACCATGCATGATGCCCTAGCTGCACTGATTAATTGATCCCCAGACTGTAATGCTGGGAGGTTTCTGGTGTCATTAGTTTATTTTAGGTCCACAAGGTTCTAATGTCTCTGATTTCCAAAACTTGACTGATTTCCTTACATGAGGTATTTTCTACCTCTTAAATCTTGCTACTTTTCTGTTACACCTGCTACATTCAGCATCAGGGCTCTTCACAGTTACTTGTGAAATAGACAGGTTCCAGCTAGGAAGCTGCCTAAAAATCAGGACCAGAAGTGTTGTCTCTGTCCAGACAAGAAGTACGTCAAAGGTGTGACACTTTGCTACATGAAAACACTGCCATGGGAGTTCCAAAATAAGATAAAAGGAATGGGGACAAAGTTTAAAGAAAGCATGTGTCTGCACCTGCTAGCTAACTTTGACTCATATTAAGATCAGAGTAGGAAAATCAGTACTGTTAGAGAAAAACACTTAAGGATAATGAGTTTTATGGAAATCAGCACTAAACTCTCTCTGAAGAATAGAAAGAAAATTTAAATGAAAAATCATTTAATCTCTTTTCCTAAAGAAAGGATCCAGGCAGATACTTTATACCACATATTATATCCATTCCACATACATAAAAGCCACACTGCCATATATTACCCTGTTTTTATAAGGCTTGAGTAGTTCTTTAGCTTCATCACACAGGGGGCATGGATCCTACGTGGAGGAAAAACATCAGCCTGTTAAACCCAAAGAAGGGTGTTTGGCCAAACAAAACAAAACACGAAGCAGTTACCCCTACTTTAAAGGACAGTTTTCTACCAGGTTAATTACAGTTCTTTATCCCAGTGCAAAACATTATCACAGAACCTTTTAAGTAGCTAGAATTTCAAGGCAGATGATATCTCCACTGTTGTTTTGTTTTGATGTTTATCCATATTTATGTATGCACAATAAATTCGGGTACTTTGTCTCTGATCTAGCTGTCTAAGACTTTGCCCTTTCTGAGTCGGGAGCACCTTCACGGCCTCTTACACTTGGCCTGACTGACACTACTAGTCTGTTGCAGCCACTTATACTCTATTTGGACAGGGAAGCACTGACCTTTATCCTATTTTTCTTAATTAGTCTATAGGAGTAAACCTATCAGAACAGTGTTAGATAGTGAGTGTCCCATCTTTAAAAAGAGAAAAAAATCTTTTCAGATCACAATTGTACCAATTTGTAATGCTTTGCTTTTTTTTCTTATTACAAGTGTCAGCAAAAGGTGTCCTGGACTAATGTTCTACTTAAGGAACAGGGAAATTCTAGTGCCCTTTGTTGTTCACATTCTTAAACCACCTTGTGGAGAAGTCTGTTGAGAATACTGTGGATTGTTGGCGGATTTTAAAGGATTCTCAGCCTTTAAATCTAAGAAAAAGGACTAGTTCTTACACAAACTCAAAATAACATTACTGATTTCTATATAAAACCTGGCTTTTAACATATCAGGAAGAGATGAACTATTATGTAAAAAAGAAGCCCTTCCTCCAGCTTAACTCACTGCATGTTTTGAAATGAGGACTGAAATCTTTCTGAATTTTTTTGGTCCTAATTTCCTATGACAGAGAATTCTGCTCATCAGGTTGTTATTACTGATAGCATTAGCAATACACACTATGTTTATCTGTGATACTTTAAGAATTTTTTGGATAATTTTAAGCATTAGCAATACACATTATGTTTATTTGTGATACTTTAAGAATTTTTTGGATAATTTTAAGATTATTTGTGATACTTTAAGACACCCATGTGGAAATTTTCTAAGAAAGTATCAAAAAGTAAACATAGGATCTTAAAAGGAAGAGCAAGACAAGCACATGCTAAACTGCAGAAGCACCAAATGTACCAACTTTTTGCTTTTATACTAAAACTTGAGAAGAGCCTAGATCTAGGCGTTTTGTTTTTGAACCAGTGTCTATGAAAGTCTGTACAATTATACACTCAAATATGTGCATATATTTCTATGAGGAAAGCTTCATCACATTTTAAAAAGTAACTAAGAAACCAAAACAGAGTAAGAGCCCATGGTGTGGACCATTCAAAGAGCCTTCTCCAGCATTTCCCATGGGACTTGTTACTTACTCTGCGCCAGGACTGTAATGGACATTTGTTGGGTTGGCTGTCTATCACCCACTCCCCTTTTGTGCAGCAAGTTTCATTTTGTTCCACAGCACTATTCTCAGCATGTGGCTAATTCCTTCTCTGAGCAACAAGCACCTCACCCAGGCTCAAGCAATCAGAACAACCTATCGGTCTTGTCTACAATTAGCTCAGGGATGAGCTAATCAGAGCCAATGGGCAGCCATGAGGCTTTTGCTGGAATTTCTGTACATGTCTGAGGTGTGACAAACCGGCATTTCTGTACATATCTGAGGTATGAGAACTTCTCAGGGTTACTGCAGTCATCCATGAGAAGCGCCAGAGTGAGGATGGATTTAACCCAGAAGGTGTAAAGCTGAAGACCCTGGTAATTAGTTCCTGAGTCAAGCTATTCCTGAAATATGAAAAACTCAGGAAATCTTTTCATTTAAGTCACTCTATCAAGTTCCTTTTAACACGCATAGTCAATAGAGACCTAATTCTCTAAGTATTTCTATCACTGGACTTTGAGTTCTCGAAGGTGGGAGCGATGTCTTCTCATGTACCTCATGTCTTTGGTACATATCATAAACTGAATGGAAGGCTGGGGTTTTGTTTTATTTTCATACATGTTTCTATCTCAGCTGGTGTCCAAACTGAAAAACAGTGCAGAAAGTAGGCCAAGTAAGCATAACTAGCGTTATGAGATTATTTCATTCTTATGGTTAATTCTCATATGCATTTCCTATCATAGATTCTCGGATGATGAAATACTTTGGATTCTATAATTTCCAACAATGCAACATATATTCATAGATATGAAAAGTACTTTAATTAAGTATCTAAAGAAGCTCATTTTAAAAACTACTTGAACTTTGTTATTAGATAACTGTCAAAGGTTTTCAAACTGCTAAAATATCTACAATCTGAAAGATCTGTTAAAAAGAGACCTTTTAAAGAATTATTGCAGTTTATTTCTTTTTTATCATAAATTACACACAGTGGTGTGAATTAGCAAGAGAAACTACTACTATTTGTATTATGAATTGCAGGGCAAAAAAAGCTCTTAAAATTTTTCTTAAAACCAGCCTTATAGCTTAAAAGAGGCATTATAGATAAGAAAACAAGGACACTGAATCCTCATTATACATGGGTTCTGTATTTGTGAATTTGCCTACTTGTTAAAACTTATTTGTAACCCTCAAATCAATACCTGAAGCACTTTGTGGTCATTCACGAACCAGATGCACAGTGATTAAAAAATGAGGCCACAGAAGCATTCATTCTAAATGGAGGTCCAACAAGGTTATGCTTTGCCTTCTTGTTTCAGCTCTTACACGGCAAACATAAGTCAGTATCGCCTTCATGGTCTGAATAACACTACGGTTTTCATGTTTGTGCTTTTTTGTTGGAGATTTTATGAAATAGCCATGAAGCTTAGTGTTCAAATGCTGCCCAGTGTTCCAAAGCATAAGCAGGATGTAACATGGTTTGTGGAGAAATTATGCATGTTAAGCTTCATTTAGGAATGGGTTAATAGTGCTGTGGCTGTGGGTACAATGTTAATGGACCAACAATATACATTCAATAAGTCACCCTTAAACAGCAACACACACAAAATAAGGTTCCATATTTGATTAGCTGAGATTTCTCAAGGAGATCAGTTGACAAAAATACTATGACCAGAGGCTCATGAGAGCCCTGTGTGTTTCATAGAAGCAGTGGTCACTGTTTGCTAATTCAGTGTGCATGATGCTTTTATAGAATGGTTCAGTGTTGCAAATTCAGAGTTGTGAAGGTTGTGTTCTATAACTTACCACAAATAACTACAAATAGCAAGAACTAACATTTCCAAATGATATACTTTTAAACATTCTATTATAATGTATAGTTGTTTTTTAACGTCAGGGTCAGATGACCATTAAATATACAAATTTCCCTTCTGAGTCCTGTGACACAGGAGGTGTCTGGGAAGGAGACAGACACTTCTGCCATGCTGAGGGGAAGCTGAGGAGCAGTCTGAAGAGAGTGTGTCCCACAACCTTTCCTTTCACACTCACCCCCTTGTGTCCATCTAGGCACAACTTTCCTTACCCAATGATTTCAATGTTTTGCACTTTTAAGTAGTAATTTGACTTTTTCACCCTGTACCTTTGTGAATAAGGTCAGCACAGGCAGAGTTGTCTTAGAGGCAGAGAGATTTCTCAAGAAGAGTCGAAAGGAGGATTTGGCAAGTTGCATGGTATTTCCTTGAAACCAGAGCATCTTCATTCTGCCAAAAGAAAATAAAGCAGTAAACTTACCAGTGTAGACTTTGCTCTTTACAGTACAAACAGTAAGGTGCAACCTTATAATGGAATTAGAAGACTTCAGAATCGCTTCTCAGAGTCCAGGAGTGTCAGAGAGGCCCAGGTGTTTGGCAAGCCTACATAATACCTCAACAATTCATGGTACCCCAAACAAAACAGAATTTGAATAGGAAAAATCCATATTTATGGATTAGCTGTGTACCTAATCACTTGGTTTCTATAAGTAAACTACATGGGTTTATTAATACAAACTAATAATACAAATACAAATACAAACTAATAATACAAACTTTTTATTAATACAAATTAATAAATACAAATTAATAAAAAGTAATATTAATACAAATTAATAAAAAGTAACTATCTTAGTTACTTTTCTCATTGCTCAGACAAAATACCCAACACCAAAGTTAAAAGGCAGAAAGGTTTCTTTGGCTCACAGTTTGTAGAGGTTTCAGTCCATATTCAGCCGGCTCCTAGGCAGGGTAGCAGGCAGAGGGGCACCACAGAGGAGGAAATAGCCCATGGTAGGCAGAAGGTAGCAAAGCAAGAAAGGAAGGATCACAGCTCTTTCTATCCCTTCTATCTCAGCCAGCCTACTTGGGTGTGTGTGTGGGGGGTAGCACTCACAGCCTTGATCCTAGTGCCCTTGATCCTAGCATTGCACCATGAATCCACTGTCATACATTTTAGACCCAGCCATCTCTGAAAAAGCCTCAGCTATGAGTGCATGAGGCTTTGGGGGACATCTAGATACAAGCCATAGCAAAAACTAAATTTTTCCTACAGCATCTTGATGATGGCAAAAGTGGAGGCTTATCTTACTGGCAAACACTCAAAAGCATCCAGCCACCATCATCACAGTAAATAAAAGTGAATTGCACAAGTCCCTGACTGAATGACATGTTATCTCTTATGACATCTACTACTCTTCTACTGTAAGAGATAGGGAAATATGCAGCTATAGTCAGAGGAACTATAGTGGTAAATCAGGCTGAGTTAACATGTCAGAAATAAAAACCTCTGCTCAATTCCTTAAAAAACATTTTAAAAGGAAACTGCCATAATTTTCAAAAACCTCATACACAAATGTACTAGTGTTTCTACTGGAGAGATTCCAGAGAGAACAGCTTAATAGCAGCACGTCAAACACTAGGGTTTGAAGCTCCCTCATCCTGCTACTTTGTTTGACACGAGACACCCTATTATTCCTAGCTCTTCTTCGGAGCCTCCAGCTTTGTCTTTAAAACTACATATAACTTCATTGTTAAAACACATGTGCACTTCTGGCTTTATCATTTGTCAATATTCCTAAATGAACTCATTCCTGGGGTCGTGATTGCTTCACTTTGCTTCACTTACTCCCTCAAACTTCATTTATCACTGTTTTCTCCCTTACCTTGGCAAATTTCAGCTGCAGAATATTCTCTCTAGTCTGTGAATCTTCACTTCCTTTCCCTTTGTCTGAAAAGCAGGGTAGTAGCTTTTCCTCATTTGGCCTGGGTTTCATGTCACTTCTTCTGAAAGGCCTTAGTGACTGCACTGCCATGCTGGCCAGTCTACAACTCTCCATCTTTAGACCCTGTTACAGTTTTCTCCTGCCCTTTGCTGTCTAACATTATTTATGTCCCCTCTACTATCATGTAAATTCTATAATAGCAAGTATTTGTTCACTCCTGTATCTCTAAGTACCCACAATTAACCTGGCATATTAATATTTGTTTGAATGTTTAAAATATTGCACTGAGCCTTTCCCACCCTCTGCAATTTTACCTCTAACCCTGTTCAATTACTCAGTGTGTAGATAAGTCACTATTTAGACTTATAACTAAAGGTTAGTGCTCCTTAGGGTTTGCATAAGATTTGGGGCAGGGGCACTGCAGCTGGTTCTAACCTCTTCACTGCTGCCATGCTGAGTCTCCCCCTGCTCTGCTCCACAGAGCATGACCATAGTAATTAAGTGTTAATCTTCACTGGCAACCAGGCTCCTCAGTGCGAGATTAGCTTTAAACTCATTTTAAAAATTGATTCCAGGGGGGCTGGGAATTTAGCTCAGCGGCACAGGCCCTGCCTGGCAAGCGCAAGGTCCTGAGTTTGATTCCCAGTACCAGAAAAAAAACAAAAAAACAAAAAAACAAAACAAAAAAAATTGATTCCACTTTAGAGAAAACCACCTACCATACCAAACTACAGTAAGGACCACAGGACAAAAAGATCAGATACTGATCATGAAAACAATGATCTTTCCTTCACTTTCAAGCTCTTACTCTTCTACTTCTCTTAGATATCCCTGCTAACTAAATGATCTTGACAATGCACAAAAAAGGACTATGGTAAGAATTTTTCAAGGGTCTGCTATCCAGAGTCACACCAAGGTAGAAAGTGACCTAAACAATTTCACAACATTCTGTGCTAGTTTCAATTAAGTGTCAAAACCCTGGTATCTAAATTTCCTGTAAAATTAGTACCATCAGTAGCACATTATCTTTGGATATTGGTCAAAGAAGCTGTACTATGTATTTCAAAAAAACCCTAAAAATTAGCTTTATTAAAGGCAGAAATGCAGCCTTTAGAAATAAGAAGAATCGGGCCATCTATGGTAGCGACCTGAAACTGTAACAAGATGGTGAACCACAGCTACATTCTCTTGGTGGAGAGATTGAAGATTTACTGATGTCTGGCTGATCGTGAAAAGAAAATTTATTGCTTTTACTTAGCTAAGTTGAGACTGAGGTGTTAAGGTTTTTAAAAAGTTCATGTTCACAGTGGAAATCTGCTTCAGTATTTGCAACATGACAAAACACAGCATGTGGTCTTGGTTGCACCCAAGACAAATAAAAGCTGTCATAGTAAAAAGAGTTGCTATTCATCCCAGATTTGCTAGAATATTTGTTGAACTAACCCAGAGCTAAGTAACACCTTCAGTGAGGCTACCACCATTCTATTTACAACTTGTTCTCTTCTCCATTTCTACTTTTTTACACATTTTAATCCCTTAAGCACAGTACGTTTATTGAGAACTAGGTAAAAGTGACAGAGAAAAGGAAGGGAAACAAGGAGAGGAAGGGCACAAGGGGTCTTAGGAGGGCAGAAATGATCGTTGTTTATATGTACAGACAATGCCAAAATGTAACCCACTATTCTGTTTAACTAATATGCACTAATAAAAGATTAAAATAAAACCATTTACCACCATTTGATGAAGTATAAAAAATTCTTATTATGCCATTGTATAACATGCATATTTTTCAAATGCCCTAAGCTACACACATATTATCATACTGTTCGATTAATTTATTTCTTTGGAAGTATTATAAAATTATATTAGAGTCTGACATAAAGAAAAAGGTCCCTATCTGTCTCCTAGACAGATATTAAGGCTAAAATTCCTTAATTCTTGTATCCCACTTAATGCTAGAAAATAAAATGAAAAATGATACACTCCAATGGGAGCTCTCTAATATTCTCCTCAGAACTTTTTATTAACTCTGCAAACCCTAACACCGCTGCTGTCAATGTCACATTCACCAAATCATGCTTTCTGAAGTAAAATCTTAATGTGGGCTACTCTGTCAATATGACATTTTCATTAGTTCGATTATTTCTGAACAGTATCTTAGCACTACAAAAAATCCTGAAAAGCAGCCTTTGCTTGTTAGCTCACCACTGTGAGAAGACCACACTTTTTTGATTATGTCATTGAATTTTGTCATGAAATGTATGCCCTTACTACACACAGACACAATTTTATCCTTTGTGTTTTGTTGTATGCCTCTGTGATATAAGCAGAAAAAACTGTGTTCATAATATCAAAGAAGCAAACTGGGTCACCTTTGTCACAGACTTAAAAAAAAAAAAGCAAGAAGCATAAGAAAAGGCATAAGCCTGGATCTGGAATGAGCTTAAAACAAATTCCACAGTCCAACAATAAAGATGGTAACTCCTGCTGTTTCAAGTCCAGTGCCACTCAAAAGCATGGAGCCCCCTGAAAGAGAACGAGCATGCTGGCCTTTCAACAAAACTGACACTGACTTCCGTGCTCTTTATGGGAGAATCAAATACAACATGGAGGGAGGACAGATTGGACCAACTCAGCCCTCCTTGAAGCAAGATAGGGATGATAACTTAACTTTATAGCATTTTCCCTGCTAAGCAACGAAGGGCATATCATTAAAGTAGCCAATTACAGTACAGAAAGAAGTCAGGGTCGTTTGAGCCTTTATTAAGGATTATTCATTTCTTGCATGAGGAGCTGCCCTAGCTATGATACATATCATTTATGTGGGGCTCCTGGATTTTTCAAACACTGTGTGTATCTGATTAGGAGGGAAACAACATTGTTCTCACTTGAGTAGAGAAACTGACCTTAACTGACCAGAATTTTACTCATACAAAGAGTCATTTGGCACACTAAAGCTCTAAGCTCACACAATCCTTCATCAGCAAGCTGTAGTGTTAGCTCATGTGCAAAATCAAAAGGTCTACATAAGCACAGGTACCGCCTTGGTTATTAACAGTTAATATTGGAGCGTCTTCACAAGAGTATAATGTAAATTTAATGTTGAGCTGACATTAACCAAACACTATTACCAGAGCTCTTGCTGAACCTGTGTTCCAAAGAGAGCTTGGGCTTCCGTTCAGTCATTTGTGCCATGTGAGAAGTTAAGTGCTCCATTTCACATTCATTACCACCTAAGTATGATGTTTCTATTTTTAACAGGATGAATAGAAACACACACACACACACACACACACACACACACACACATACATACACACACATACATACACACACAAAACACACCTCTTAAAGAGAGAACCCCATTATTTTAGACTACTAAAAGTTTATGTAAGTCCTTTGGGTCACTGTGGCCTAACTAATTCAGGGAAACACAGTAGGAAGAAATTGTGCCCCATGGTAATTCTCTGTGCTTTTGATCAGCCAGATATGAATCTGCCTCCC